ACTGACGTGCCTTCCATCAGACCGAACTTTCTGGTCGATGAGAAGACACTGGGTTTGTCGGTTTTTGCGTACCTTATTTCAAAGGTTTCTGTACGCTTCATGTGCAACATAAGTGGCGTAACATATAGGTAAATTGAGTTACGGACATCGCCTGCGGGCTAGTTATTCGACAGGCAAATCGTATAGAGGCGAGCACCAGCAAGCAGTATTGGTCTTCAGACCGCTCCTGGGGAGCATATCATGGCTTAACGTCTAGGGTCATGTCTTTGGAGAGCTCCGAAATCGATGCGCTCGGTGTTATGGGTTGACAGAGTCATATTGGAGAGAGAGTATCTGAATATATATCGGCCATATAGGTATTAATGTCGAAAGTGAAGTCGTCCGCGGGCTGGTACCCAGTCTTGCAAATATATTTTCCTGGTGCAGCGGTCACAATACTACTAGTCCTGACGGTTGGTGATCTAGTGACTGCAAATGCTGTAGCCTTAATGCCAACGAGAATATTGAGCAGCCGGTCGCGAACCCGGACTCGGATAGATGAAAATAAGGGAACTGAGTTCTACATGCATATCGAGAGAGACAGGAAGAATTATATGTGACAGTCCATCTAGTGGTTCTCATCGTACTGCCATTGAGGTCGAGGTATATTCTTGTGTTGAGGCTTGGAGAACATTTCCGCCGCTTTATCTGGCTGGTGAATGAGAAATGCTACCTTGATCGTGAATGCGGATGCTGGGCTGATGCTGAGTGATGCAGTAGTCTTGAAGGTAGAGACTGATAAGTCGTCAGGTATGTGACATCGGAGCATCATGACATCTATCGTCCCCTTCTGGGCTGTGATACATAGGCCAGCAAGGACTCCTAGGTCCAGCTCGCGGCAAAAGATCATGGCGGAGAGATCTCGCAATTAACATTGTTGCCTCACATCCACGGCCATCTCCATATTCACGTTCTAGGTGTCCATGGTAAGATTATGAAACTTGATCAAATCTCCTATATACTAATTCATCAATGCAATTGTGTTCTCATGTTCACTGACAATAATGACTATGGAGTTAAAGACTATAAAAAAACTTTTACTTTATTTGGCATGATACTCTCGCCTGCTTCTGCTACAATAGTCTGTTTATTGTTGCTCTATAGTAAAGTGCTAACCACATATACTTTACAAGTATTTTTGCTGTCACAATTAGCTATACTAGGAATAGCAATGATAAAGTATAATTTTGTCCATCTGGGGGTGCTATCTCCACAGCCACTTGCACGGACATTATTCATATCTAGAGTGTCGGTTCGGAGTTTGACGCTCGTAATGGAGTTAATGTTGCCGAGGATGAAGGTTTGTAATATCATCACTGTATGCTGTTTGGCCGCTGCTGAGGACTGCCTCCCTGCCTCATAGTCCATTGATGTGTTGGGAGTTCTGGCACTTTACTGGCGGATGCCGTATGTCTCTTATATGTAGTGACCCACCGCGTCGATGTTCTGGCTGTAGAAGGCCAGAGTGTGCGAAATAAGATTCGAGATATAGAGACGCGAGCAATATTGATTCTAATCTTGCGGTGAATCACGGGTGACAACAATCAGAGTACTCAATAGCTTCAGTTCCCATAACATGCTACAAGTCAACAAAGCCTTCGCGTATGTTGCTTTTCAACGCAACTCAGCCCGAATGACAGCTGGTAGCCTCCGACAGTCTCTCTGGTCCCCTGATAAAAAAGTGGTCCTTGACATACCCATACCAATATCAAGCACGGAACCGATGCCCACGCCATGACAAATAGCATTAAAATGTGTCGGTGTTCTTTACCACTTTCTTAGTCAGCTCGCAATAAACACTATAACTAAGTTAAAGGTCATGTTCCAGGAACCATTGACATGATTGGCCGCCCGTGGTCTATAAGCTCCATAAACAGTTCATCAATCCGTGCGATCTCAGGCATTAAGCTTACTTAAACTCGTCTACGTGATAAACTGCCACATGCTAGAGCCTCACATCGCGCCATCGCCCTACAGAAGCATATCTGTATCATTAGCCAAACTATAAGTTAGGGACCCGGCTAATAGGTCCGTCATCATTCTGCGCTGATGTGTCTGCTTGGTTACCCTCATCATTATAGACTTTCGCATGTCTGTTCCGTGTGGAAGTATTTAATACATAATAGAGAATCATCAGCATGGCCCACCTCAGAACAGCTGAATGGAGGAGAACAACCAACGAGCTACCTCTGTAACTATTCTATTAAAAGCGGCAAGAAATTATTGGCATCTGTCAATGTTGTTACTTTGATTTTGTTGTAAGCCTACTTTCTTATATGATCAATACCGGGGAATAGGTTAGTTGGAATTGCTAGAGGCGTCACAAGGGTACTATGTTGTGGTACTACCATGGTAGTAAGTATAGTACTAAGTTGTGTAGAAAATATATTTTTGTAGACAGTGGCATTCAGTACTAAGTATGGGTTGAACTTGAACTTCTTACAGGAAAAAACCAGGAATCTCCAGGTCTGACCGAGAGTGTTTATCCTGATATACTACTCCGTAGTGTTAGTACTTACTAACCCTCTCGACCAGCACATCCAGACCGGCTACTATTACCTCGCTTATGACTTCCTGGTCATATTTATGTGACTTTTCGTTTTCGGTCTCGTTTTCGGTTTCCCATTCATCCCCCCATCAATCCCTGCTTTAGATTTAGTGGGTCGCCCCACTTTCGGGAAGAAAAAACCAGAGAGCCGAGCACAGCATAACTCTGTGCAGAATGAAGACATTCTGTTTTCATGCCCTGTCTCCCCATCATAAGACTAATATCCTCCGACCATATCGTCGAACGATCTTGCCTCATTTACAAGCAGGTATCTTCCAATTCTACTTGACGTTGAATACATTGTTAGAGATAAAGAGGCAACATTGAGGATGAGGACAAGCTGACGTAAGCTCTTCGGGAATATGTAACTAACTAACAAATTAATCAATTTAGTTAGTCTCGTTAGTGTTATGCTCGACATCTATCGATTATGCATCAACATAAATAGTGGCCAGAGACTAGGTTCGCTGTGCAGGGGCATTTATGATGGGGAATTTATGTGTATTAGGGGCTACTGACCCTTCCCATTGGCCCGCGGATCGAAGACAGCCGAAATGATTCTGGAAACTAGTACTAGGAGTGTGGCATAACCCGTTCGGTTACTACTTTGCTATTATTCTAATCTGCCAGTGTTCCTGACGGTCGGCATAACTTCCCATGGGTCAACATGAGACGGGGCTGCGGCCAATTCGTCCTCAAATCGTCTGAAAATCCTCCCAGCATAAAATCTGGGGCATTGCCCTTCTATCCAGTAGATGTAGTCTGCTTATCCCTGTTTCCGTTCTAATTCCCTCTCCCTTCCAATTCCTTCGACTATACCGAGGAGGGAACAAGATGGGTGCATCCGATACCCTCGCCAGCCCTGACTTGGAAAAGGGTCAGCCGCCCGCGACTCTGCAGCCCACTGAACTGCATCCAGACAACGTCGTAGATTATGATGGTCCCGATGACCCCGAAAACCCATTCAACTGGCCTCGCTGGAAAAAAGGCCGCCAGTTGGTTCTAATGGCGTTCAACACCTTTATCACGTATGTCTCGCTGCTGCTGCTGCTGCTGCTGCTGCTTCTCTGATTTTGCTTATCATATCCTCTTCCGTCCTGTTCGTTCTTGGTGCTACTGGCTAATACCACGTTAGACCCTTGGCTTCCTCCATGTTCGCCCCCGGAGTGGAGGATGTTATGATCGATTTTCACTCCACTAGTACCATGCTCGCCTCCTTCGTGGTGTCTGTCTATGTCCTAGGATATATGATCGGCCCTTTCTTCATCGCCCCGCTCTCGGAGATCTATGGTCGGGTGCCCCTCTATCATGCATGCAACATCCTGTTCCTCGTCTTCACCATCGCTTGCGCCGTGGCCCAAACCATGCCACAGCTGATCGTCTTTCGCCTTCTGGCTGGTACCGCCGGCGTTTGCCCCCTCACCATCGGCTCAGGCACCGTAGCCGACATGGTTCCCAAGGAGAAGCGCGCCGGCATCATGGCCATCTGGGCCATGGGGCCCATCCTTGGCCCTGTGGTAGGACCAGTAGCTGGTGGCTTCCTCGCCGAAGCTGAAGGCTGGCGCTGGGTGTTTTGGGTGATTGCGATCGCTGTAAGTCTAGACTTCCACACTCCGCCCCCCCCTCTCCTCCTCACTCCTGTCACCCGCTAATACATGGATCGTCTTCCCCATAGACCGCAGTGATGAGTATTCTGTGCATGATTTGGTATCGCGAAACCTATGCCCCCGTCATTCTGGAGCGGAAAGCGGCCCGGTTACGCAAGGCTACAGGCAATCCCAACCTGCGTTCGGTCCATGACCGTGGCCAGCAGGCGCGTGAGCTCCTTCTGATCGCATTGGCTCGCCCGATTAAGCTCCTCGTCAAATCGCCCATCGTCCTCCTCATGGTGCTCTTTGCCGCCATCACCTATGGCTACTTGTACCTGATGTTCACCACCATCACCACTATCTTCGAGGACGTCTATCATTTCTCCCCGGGCGTTGCAGGCCTGGCATACCTGGGATTCGGTGTGGGCTGTCTGATCGGACTCGTCATCTGTGGCGCTGTCTCCAATCACATTGCGCGCACCCATTCGGCCAAGGGGTGTTTCACCCCAGAATCACGCTTGCCGCCCATGGTCTTCGGCTGTTGGGCCATCCCCATCGGCTTGTTTTGGTACGGCTGGGCAGCCGAAGCTCAAACCCACTGGATAGTCCCCATTCTGGGCACTGGCGTCTTTGCCATCGGCCTGATGACCGTCTTCATGTCGGCCAGTACCTATTTGGTCGACTCCTACCTCCGCTACGCCGCCTCGGTGACGGCAGCCAACACGGGTCTACGATCGCTGGTTGGGGCCCTGTTGCCCTTGGCCGGACCTTCCATGTACGATGCCCTGGGCTTGGGATGGGGTAATTCTCTTCTCGCCTTCATTGCGCTCGTGATGTGTGCGTGTCCGCTGTTCTTCTGGCGGTACGGGGCACGCATCCGGACGCACCCTCGATTTCAGGTGAAGTTGTAAAAGATACCCTAGACGTATATAGACAAAAGCATTGATAGAATAATATACATAGAACATCCTATATTACCAATGTTATATCCGAGTTACCCCCCCCAAATGTCTCCTTTTCGTATGAGATGGACGAGGTTACATATACCGACGGAGAGTGGAGTTTTCTGAGTGACGTCGACTGGCTGCATCTCGTGAAAACAAAATTTTAGCTGATAGGCCGGCAGCTGGTACGTATAACGTGGTTAGAGAGACCTTCCATCAAATTTTTTGTAATTAAGTTTGTCCAGATCACAGTCCTCCAGTAAACGGACCTAGAACGATTAGCATCACCTTTGGCCCTTCAGTTGGACCGATGCACTCACATTCACTGCTATGATTGGGGGCGCGTCCTCTGCCACCAACCGGATGAAACAACTGCTCCCGCAGGTCCCACAAAACTCGTGCTTCCCCTGACGCCGGCCAAACTGGTACGTCCGGGTTGTTTCGTCGCCGCTCTCAAGGGTGAAGTCTTTGAGCGAGGGGTAGACGAGCAGGTATCCATTCTTGCTGCAGATAGAGCAGTTGCAGCTAACGACAGGATATTCGGACAGAGGTGGAGACAGCGAAAAGCGGAAGCTCACAGCGCCGCAGTGGCACTTGCCTTTGTGCATGCTCTGCTCTGATGTTGGGGTGGGGACGAAGGACATGATGATCAGTCGATGGGGTTGGGTATTGATGACCGTGGGAGGGAAGTTGTACTCTCTTCAACCACCTCGTCCAAGGCTTTGCGCTTCTTCTAAAAGGATACTAAAACGGCCGACCAACAATCAGCTGTTGGGACAAGGGCTGTCTAACGAACATTGTGCCGTAAGCAAGGGCTACCCCCGCACCAATCTGACATCAGCGCGGATAACCGCAGCTCACCGCCAATACGCCTGATGCTAGTTTTTCGTCGCACTATCAGAGGGTCTTGTTGATTACCATTTTCATCTTTCATTTTCCTTATCTTCTTTTTATTCATATTCTTATTCTAATTTTCCTTTTTTTTCCCCCCAGTTTCTTTTCAAAGTTCTCTATTATAATTTTTATTATCATTATCATATACTTTTCACCCTCTTTTGTTCTTTTTTTCGGCAGTTTTCCGCCAGTCTCTCTAACCATTTCTGTTGTGGAAAGTCCAACCTAACTATGATCCTTCTTAGATGACATCGGCACACTGGCGGCTATAAATACAAGTCCATCAATATTTCGATAGTGCGCGTAATAGAAACCAAGGCATTTTGCAAATATTGATCCCACTTTTCTCCCAGTACACGAGCCACTCTATAATCTTCTATATACTTAATGAGGCTTTTGCTCAATGACTTGGGCGCTTAATCCCGCGATGACACGAATTGACCTGAGGCACACGCCTAATATAATCCCAATACCTTTTAGATCTAAAGGTTGCCGATTAATAGAATATCTAGATAGTCAGATCAAACAATAACCTTTTACATAGAGTATGAGAAATATATTGACCGGCATGCAACTAGACTACAGATCCATCCTTCACCAGACTATCTCAGCACAATAATATAGAATATCTCTAATACCGCTCTTCCCACCATAGTACTTTATCTGCATATACCTTGCACGAACTGCTTGGATCGAAGCCAATCTAATCCCATTAAAAGGCATGGCCGCCCCATATTCCCTACATAGAATAGTTTCCAATACAAATTCATAGACAAGTTTTCCTCATAAAAGAATCCATTATATCCGGGCTTGATAATGTGAGACTCAAATACCAGGAATACTCTCAGCCTGAACACTGCCCTTAAGAGACACTATATTATCCATTTCTCAATGAATCAGTAGATCAATATAAAACCAACATATTAATAAACTCCGTACCCAGGTACAACTCCACGTATCTACACAGGCCTGCCCGGCTACTCCGTAAGAAGCCACTCTTCTCACCGTTTCCCTTCATACTATCCATGGCAACTTATCAATCTGCAGATTAATTCGAGGGATGTATACGATCACCAGGCGAGGAGGACCACCGAACGCGGCAACCGTTCGGACTCGGCAAAGGCGCGCTCGGAATCCCCCGTTGACGGAGCTGTCCTCGGAGGCAAGTCCGTCGGGACTGAGCTAGGTGACGCATTGTATATTAACCTAAAAAAGTGACTATTGCCTCACATCTCCCAAAGAACCTATTCATTTGACAGAGTTGGCACCCCAAAATGTCCACTTGCCCTAGATCTCACCAGACCAACCGTACGCGCTCCATCCTTAATGCCGCAAAGATTGGCAAATACGCTGTTGGCGCCTACAACTGGTACAAATTTCCCCGTGAATCTGTCTTCCAGCCTAATCCCCCCTCACTACGAGACCTAACGAATTAACAAAAGCTATAACACCGACGGCATCATGGCCGTCATCCGCGCCGCTGAGCGCGCGCAGAGTCCCGCCATAATTCAACTCTTCCCCTGGACTATGCACTTCCAGGGCGCACACTTCATCCGCTTCGTCGTCGCTGCCGCGCATGCCGCTTCCGTCCCCATCGCTGTGCATCTAGACCACTGCATCGAGCCCGCTGACATCGAATTCGCTCTCACACTCTCCTTTGACTCGATAATGATCGATGGGTCTAGCATGGATGAGGGTGATAATGTCGCGCTCTGCGCAAGCACGGTAGCCAGGGCGCATGAGCGCGGTATGGCTGTCGAGGTTGAATTAGGGCGGATTGAGGGTGGGGAGGATGGCCTTCCTAACATGGATTTGGGCAGTGTGATGACGAGGCCTGACGATGCACGGGAGTTCCTGGAGGCGACTCAGGCAGACTTTTTGGCCCCCAGTTTTGGGAATGTGCATGGGGGTTACGGGGTTGTGGGAGCGGAGGGATGTTGGGATTTGAAGCTGTAGGCTACCATTTATTACTCCAATGTGGTTTGGTTGTGAAGATCAAAGGGCCACTGACTGCATTCATACTGTGCAGGCTCCAACAGATCGAAGAGGCTGTCCCGTGCACTCCGCTTGTCCTGCATGGTACGCATCCGGTCTCCGACGAGCTTTTCCTCAAAGCAATTGAGTGCGGCATGAGCAAGGTGAATGTTAACCGGACGGTGCGCGACAATTACACGGCGTTTGTAGCGGAGAATGCGGGAAAGCTGGAGTTGACTGTGCTCAAGGTACGGGCAGTCGAGATCTACGCCGAGTCGGTGGAAAGGGTGATGAAGTTGTTTGGCTCGGCAGGCAAGGCTTGACTCAGCCTGATTATTCATAGAGAGTATGGTACCAGGGATTTAGCTGTCAAGCATACATGCATCGAGTAGCTACTCCAGAACCTAAACCAATATCAGTTTCCCCTACGAAAGATCGATGATTATATATGCAGAATGAAGAAATGGACACCAGTAGTGTGTCAGCATTCTCTTCTTCGAAATATCCATTAGTTACGCGTCTACGTGTCACTCACTATTCTTCCAAAGACAAGTAGTTGATTGATTCCTTCGTTCTGAAAAAGTAAAACAAGTCGACTGGCGAGGCGATGAACACGCGGGAAAGACGGATCTAACCGACCTCTTCGGTAGCGGTCCAATGGGTTAGCCCGGGTATGGCCGACCGAGGGTGGGGTTAATGACTACATTTGTGAAATGGCAGTATATGGCAAAGAGTGAATCACGAGTATGAGCATCCCCGCAAGCTCAACTGCACCGGTTCGACAACACTCTGATGTAGCTGCCAGGCAATGGATGTCTATCATCAAGTAGGAAAGAAGTGCACTGAAACTGTAGATGAACAAAAGGTCTCAGGGCACTCCAAATGTGAGGAACTGGTAACAATCATTGCCTCCTGATTTGATAAGGTATTGGTATTAGTGAGTATATAGAGACGGGCTGCTATTATCGTCTCCGTAGGTATGAATTGTAGTTGATTATATATGGTTGACAAATATGATAACCACTGAATAATAACCTGGTCTTGCAATATCACTCCTAAAACTTATAAAACATTTCCATCAACAAATCTACTATCCTAAATTATTGTACTCGTATGTGTAATTCAATTAATCAAGCATTGAACTAGTTGGGCGAGGTTAAATATATTTAAGCGGACGTTACGAGACTCTGAACAACTCATTGTATGTTCTCAACGAGACAATTGCTCTCCGCCTAGACATTGTCTTTTGGACTTCCACAATTTCAACATAATGCTAGCGGACAATCTGACAGTGGTAGTTCTGGGACATCATACTGCTTTGCGGCATCAGCAAAAAGAGCCTTCTCAGCATCCGCATAGGGAATACCCTCAGCCCGCCTCTGCAGCCCCAACCAGTGCTCGGGCTCTCCAGGAAACAGCACCTCCGAAAATCCGGGCGCCGGACTAACCCCGTGTACACGTTGCGCAAGTGTATTCATTCGAGCTTTGAAATCGTCCGTGCTCATGATGACATCGGGCTTGACAGCAATAAAGCAATGGCCTACATTCTGGGGCTTCGTATCCTTATACTGGTCTCCAACCTGTCCGCCAAACTCGGCGCCTGCCAAAACGCCCGACATAATGTCCATAAGAATCACAATACCGGATCCCTTCGGCCCCCCAATTGGCGCCATGCTGCCATTTAACGCAACATTTGCGTCCGTCATTGGGTTCCCATCTGCATCTAGGGCCCAGCCAGGAGGGATAGGCTCACCACGGCGTGCGGCGCGTCGGATCTTTCCCTTGGCAACAACAGAGGGCGCCATGTCAAGGATATATGGTACCTCCGTGTTTGAAGGAGCACCGGCAGCAAATGGCGAGATACCGAGGAGCGTTTCTTTCCCTCTGAAAGGGGGCATCTGTTTCGCGGAATTAGTGAAGACAAGCGAGATCATATCTGCCTTGAGTGCTTGGAGGACGTATGTTGCCGCCATACCAAAATGATTGGAGTGGTTGACCGTTACCATTCCGATACCATAGATTTCTGCACGTTTGATAGCTTCGTCCATACCGCGAGTCGCGACGACGAAGCCGAAGCCGTTATCGCCGTCCAGATGTGCAACTACGGGGGTTTTGTCGGTGATCTTGATGCTTGGCCTGGCGTTGACCCGGCCGTTGCTAACGCGATCAAGGTACTGTGGAAGCCTTGCGAGACCATGAGTATCCTATCATCTGTTAGCTAGTACTAGAGAGAAAGTACTTTGGGATTCTTACGACACCGCGGATATCGGCTAGGACTAAGCACTCTGCCATTGAGCGTGCGTCCTCTGACTTAAGGCCTGCTTTGACGAGGAGTGCAGTCGCGAACTCCTTTGCTTTTTCCGGATCGGCGTAATAACGTGACTGGTTAGTGGAGGACATCTTGATGGTGAGAGAAAGGAAGTGGTTAGCTACGTACATAACCTTTCGGCGTCTGTGGGAGTAGATTTATAGTGCTGCCAAGGTCTGAAGTTCCCGAGAATCGGATGAGGGGGTTAGGTCGGTTAAACGCCGACACTCACCCCACTCGTAGATTTTACAGTAATTCATTGAGTGGAATGAAGAGCAGTAAGTCCAAAGTCGCCGTTTTCACATACTTCTCAGCGGCAACTATCTTCGGAACGTTTTTTCAATATGAGAACAAAAACATGTACTCGTCCTCCGGCGGAACTTCAAAGTCAAAACGGACCAGATCCTCCTTGTATGGAAACATATACGTGCTTGTAACCCTACGCACAACGACGATATTAGCAGCTTCCTGGACTCTGATTACGTTGCCGCTCACCAGTGGTGTTCCTTGCTTGCCTGATACTTCTCTAGGTCTGCAAGAGACTCATGGAAGCTCAAAAGCGCAAACTCAAACCCTTTACTTCGTTCAATGGGGTCGGTCATTGATGGCCCTCCCACGACTAGTCGATGTCCTTTCACGCAGTCCAGATTTTTGAGCTTCTTGAGTTCTCGAGCGAAGGTCTCTTTATGCGCCGCAGTTACATCGGAGCGGAACTTGAACATTACTAGCATCAAACAAGTTCGTTAGCTTCTGATGACGCGGATAGAAGTGAACCAGTGTACCCATATGCACGATTGTCATTTTGCTCTATTTGCAGATACCGTGGGTGCTATCCTCTATCTTCGGGAAATAAAATGAGATCCAGAGTAGAACCAGCCAATAACGAACGATTTTATAAGCATGTCCCGGCTCCTAACCGCGGACGGGGTAGAGAAGGCAACCTCATCTTCTCGGCGCTTTGCCGTTCGCCTCCTGGCCCGAAAAGCCCCTTACGACTGCCATGGCTGCTATCCGAAGTCCTGGCGGGAATTACCGTTTATAGCACTAGCAGACCATGTCAAGGCTAGTCCCAGCCAAGTGCTGCCTCAGCGGGGTTGTAGTGCTCTCCCCGTGGGGTTTGACTGCTTGGCACCCCCGCGGGGAAATGGTATACTTGATGATGGGTATCCCATATAGCGAAGCTGCTGCAATGTTAAATATTCCTGTATTGTCTCATTCCAGCCGATACCACAACTACTGCTTGGACTCATCCGTTACATCGTTGCGACACCATGGAGCACAAATCCGTCGAGCATGCCGAGTTTGTCAGTTCAAGCAAAGCCTGTCTCGAGCCTAATCGACTAACGCCTGCCCGGATAATGACTCCCGAGCAATTTGCCCTGGCAGAGAGGAAGCTGAAGAAGAAGCTGGATGTGCGTCTTTTGCTCTGTGTTTGGATTATTTTTGTGATGAACTACCTGGACCGAGTAATTCCCCCTCCCTCTGCACCTTTCAGTGGGCCTCATGATAACACGACATATGTGGTGTAGAACAACATATCAGCCGCAAAGATAGCCGGCATCGAGAGCTCCCTTGGTCTAAGCAGCACGCACTATGCTACGGCCGTGGCTCTGCTTTTTGCTGGTTACGTGCTGATGCAAATTCCATCAAATATTTTCCTGGCCAACCTACACCCTTCACTCTACATCCCATCCGTTATGGTCATCTGGGGCATGCTCTCTGCGCTGGTAGGAGTCGTCCATAAAGCAGCCGGTTTGTATGCCCTGCGGCTCCTTCTTGGGTTTGTTGAGGCAGCGTTCTATCGTAAGATTCCAACCTCCTCCCGTGGGACACTCCTGACATGACTCTAACAGCCGGCGCGCTCTTCCTCATCTCATCCTGGTATAAGCGTTCCGAAATGGGGGTCCGCAGCGCTTTTCTTTTCTCCGGCTCCCAGTTGGGAAGCGCATTCTCCGGGCTTATCGGTGCCGGCATTACGAGCGGTCTAGACAGGGCCCGAGAGCTCGAATCATGGCGCTGGATCTTTATTATCGAGGGCTCAGCAACCATATTTATTGCTCTTATGGCCTTCTTCGTCCTCCCAAACTACCCCTCGAATACCCCCTGGCTAACCCAGGAAGAGCGTGCCGTTGCCGAATGGCGACTAATTGCGGATGCCGGTCAGGTTAACAAAGATGATAAACGCTGGAGCTACGGGTTCCAGATGGCTTTTAGCGACTGGCGGCTGTACGCCTTCGCGCTTATTTTCCTTTGCATCCAAGTCGCGAGTGCGACATCTAACTTTTTTCCCGCCGTCGTTAAGACGCTAGGTTTTAGCATGGTTAATACCTTGCTGCTTACTGTGCCACCGTACATGGTAGCCCTAGCAATCTCCATAGCTAACAATTGGTCTGCCAATCAGCTTCGCAATTCGTCCTTTCACGCTATCTGGCCACTTTCAGTTGCGATTGCCGGTTTCATTATTGCAGCCGCTACGCTGAATACGGGGGCGAGGTACTTCGCCATGATTTTTGATGGTAGCTGGGGGGCATGGCTCGAACGCTGTCGTGCTGGCCTGGACACAGAAAACAATGCTTCGGCCTAGAATTAAGCGGGCCTCGGTTGTGGCATTTGTTAATGCCTTTGGGAACCTTTCGCAAGTACATACCAACTTTCTTACCTTCAACAAACGAAACAAATAAAGGGATTACCATGCTAACAGTGCTTTTGCAGATCTTCTCCTCGTACTTCTACCCCGACAGCTCCGCTCCGCAGTACGTAACCGCCATGGCGGCGAACTCAGCCTTCTCACTCGGTGCGATTGTGCTAGCGATATTTATGCGATTTGTTCTCCTTCGGGCTAATCGGCGCATCGAGAGGGGGGAGTCAACCGTGGCGGAAGAGATGAAAGGTCAAAGTCAGAGGGAGATTGCTGGTGTCTCTGATGAGGAGCGCATCGCGCGAAGGGAGGGGTTCCGATACATTGCCTAGCCTAACCAAAAGCTCGTGTATTCTGGGGAGTACTGCTCTTCCATCATCTCTATGCTCCTTTGTAGTTACTGCTTTGTGACAATGTCATCCCTCATAGTTCGATGTGTTTCCCCTGACTTGCCACAGTGGAATCAAATATATCTAGTCCTCAGAGCTTTTGAAGGGGGTATTCTTTCATTGATCAGACTACTAAGTAGTCGCAATTTGACGGCAGATGACAAATCAGCTTTCTTTGGATCTCCTTTGCTGAAGCCGCCTCTTAAAAGACGGATATACTATGCGACGCGAAGGACTGGATAGCCAGGCCAATGCAACAAAACTTTATGTCACTTATCAACCACCCCTACCGCCCTCTAAACTCTTTGAAAACATCTTCTACACTCCTTCCTGCCCTGATTGCCTCTGCACACTTCCGATCGGCTTCCACAATGTCTGGAATAACGTCAAGCACGTCCTCCACCGTCTCCTTTGGAACACGCACAACTCCATTCAAATCGGCCACGATATAATCACCCGGGTTGATCCAAGTCTCCTGATGTTGAGAGTGCAGCCGCACGGGAACGTTTACTTCAGAAGGCCGACAGACTGCCCCACCAGCTGTTGTGCCGGCATATCTGGCGAACAGCTGTACCATTTAACGTAGCTATTAGTAGTGTTGTTGGAGCCAGGGCGCCGACGTGTTGGCCATGAGAAGAAATAAGACATACAGGAAATTTTAGCGCTCGGTGCTCTCCTAAATCTCGTACGCGTCCGTCAATCACGACCCCGGCTGCACCTACCGCCTGTGCCCGCAAGGTCATCAGCCCACCATAGACGGCGTTTACCTGTGGTAAGGGCTGGGATATAACAATCACAACTCCGGGTGGGACCATATCAATCTACCTCATAGAAACCAGTCAGCCGACACAGAGCTGTGGGTTTCCATGCCCAGAAAAGAGACGTCACGTACATAGTTTCCACTGAGTTTCGGAGCAGCTTGGTCATCTGTTGGCACAAACTTCACCGTGAATGCCTGGCCAACGATCTTGGTCTCTCCGGCTTGGTAGTCTGGCGAATACAGGGTGAGGCCTTCGAGGAAGCCTCCGTCTGGGTGTTTGAGTTTACTGAGGCCATCCGCAACCTAGTGTAAGTCAGCATTGATTACGAGTTGCCCAGCAAGTACCAATGTGTTGGGTCTGTGGATGGTCGTGGTCTTACGTCGCAAGCGCCCCATTGTTTGAGACGCTCAATGATATCTTGTGACTTGCTCGCAGGAGTCATTTTTGAGATAAACCCGCTAGTATTCAGTGAAGATGATGTCTGGCTGAGGTCGCTGAAGTGCATCCAATCGACTTTATGCAATTTGCAGGCGTCCTGAAGGGGCGATATCGGCAATATCGGCTGATCCGACGGGCTTCGGGGATTTGCCGTCTCGCGGGAGAGAGCCTCGGCCTACATGAGTGTGTTTCGATGAACGAGTCAAGGAAATAATGAAACAGTCTAGCAGGTCATGATATATTTACAATTCAACAATATAAAGGGAACCATTCATTCGAGCTACAGAAATGTTGATTTCGACGATATTCTGGGGACCTGCTCATCGTCCACTACAACCTGCGACAAAGTTCCCCTAACCATCAAATCCAGGCATAAGCTCAGAAGTATCCCAAACTTGTGGCTGACAGGGGTCCGAGCCCCAATCATTGAGCCAGCCGAGGTCAAAAAGATCTCGGAGGATGCCCAATTCATCTATCAACAGCGACTTACCGTCCTCTTGCGGCACCACGCTAACCCCATTTCTAAGCTGTGTCTCAGCGGTTGGGTGCGTTGTAACGTCATCCGCAGTCGCAGATTGCCTTTGGTTCTCAGCAGTCTCGCGCATAGTTTCGTGAGTTAGGGTAATTAGTCGTGAGAGCTTTTCGCACGGCTGCTCTGCTACAGACCACCGCCGTCTAAGGAAGGTAAGGAGCTCCAAGGCGGAGTCTACTCGGGATAACGGAACAGTCACTGGCGTCAGATCTCTCACCGATGGGTAAGCCCAGAGGCAGTACAGCACTGTAATGGCAGCAACAAAGATAGTGTGGGCAGAGAGCCACGACCACTCCATGTTCATGAAGCGGTGAAGCTCCGTGTTGATCTGGATTATTTTCATTGCGCTACCAAAACATGCCTCTATGGCTGCGAATGTTGGATATGGCAGCTGAGGGCTGGGTCGGTAGAGAAGCATGATGCACTGGTGAAATTTGATCTCCAATCGTTGCACAGTTGTTCCAGATAGTGAGCTAGGACCGCACACGGAACGCCCGCGCTGCTGATTGTGGACTTCAGTTAGGAGATCTTTGCAGGCTTGATCTGTGTCCCGTTGCCAGGCAGATATGTTTGATGGCCAGGGAAAACGGCGTGGTGAGCGAGAGACGCGGTATATCATGAGCTTGATCTCAGCAGTGATTCGGTCAAACCGTAAGGAGTAGATAAATGCTAGGTATGTCGACGGTGTCTGCTCGTACAGATGCCTGTTCATTTCAGGCGCAATTCTTGCACTATACCACCGGGTTGCTGCTTCTTCAACTTCATCACTTGCATCCAAGCCTGGGAATGGCTGATCGATGGCCTCATCTCTGAGGGTCAGTGGACGACCGAGGATAGTGGTTAGTGTGCGATCCATTGAGTAGGCCGACCAGAAGATGGCGCTTCGTCTTTGTGCGGCCACACAGTATGTCGCCGAATTCAACTCTGCGGCATCTAAAAGACAAGGTCAGAAATTGTGGCGCATGCATTTTTTGCGTCAACTCACATCCATTCCGCCGTTGAAGTCCAAGGTCCAGACAGCTTGCAATGATAGTGTGGAGCAGATACCAAGCATTAAGACCATCTGGACTATAGAAGCTGTGAAGAACCATCAGTAACAGAACTTGTACACCCTCCACGCTATCTTGAAGGCAGATCTGGGAACTGTGAGTCATGGCAGAGACGAAAAGGTCATTGGTATCATAATCGGACCCTAGTCGTACTTCAAGGAAGCGTGCCCCCAAGGAAAGAACAAGGCCCACTTGCGCCGCAGCTAATCTGATAGGAAGCGGATGGCTCCATGTGGAAGATTCATTATACTTCTGAATCTGGCTTAGGAGCTGATAGAATCCTTGCTGTGAGATAAAAGGATAAAGACATGTGCCCTCAAAGTAAGCCTCAGCATATTGCTGGGATTCGGCCGGAGAGGGTAAGGGGATGGGCGGAATGCTAGATGCATCTGAGCTAAGGGCCCGTCCTGTCGCAGTAGGAAGACGCACGCGAGGCTCTTGATGCGTGCCTTGGCCTTGGAGTAGCGACAGTGGGAGGCCTTGGGATTGCGGTGCGCTTTCATAGATAAGCCGAGCAAAAGAAATACCAGATGATGGTCCTAGGTATTTTGGTTCTGTGTTGTTGGCGAGGGACAGAAGGCCAACTTCATGAGCCAGCGGTTGGTTGCGAGTGATCTGGGTCGAGCCCGAAACGGCTGGTGACTGCACGGGAGGGCTGTGGTGTTCTTGACCCAGGTCAATGCCATGATGCTCGGCGACTACAGGGGCCTGTGTTGGACTTGCATTGTTCCCATCAAACAACGCATTTTGATTATAGGCGCTTCGGCTATTGTCGGTACTCTCAGCATTGTCAGCACTATCGCGTAAGGGCGATGCCTCCAGTCTCTCCAGCTCTCGAACACGCCGTTCCAGATAGTATAATTGACTAGCAAATCAATGGATATTAGCAGATGGCATAACACCAGGGAGGAAAGCCACCTTCTGGACACAGCAGACGCAGCTCTCCCTTCCAAACAGTCCACACCGGCCTTCGCACAATTCGAGCATGCGGGTACGGCGCCATCACAGCGGACCTTTCGCTGTCGACAGCGGACACAGGCCGAAGGACGCCGTTTATGCCGAGTCGGAGCCGTGGGGGTCCGCGTGTTAGAGGATCTATTTGCAGACGGGCGGACCGCTGCGGCTGGATACGATAGTAGGCTCCGCTGCTTCATCCTGGCATATCTGGCTACAGTACAATAATGGGGTCTCGAGGCCGAAGGAAAGGCGGGCAGAGATTCGGGTATTTCGCTGTCAGAAAAAGGCAACAAGTTGATCGGAGGACAGGGCGGGGAAAGGAAGACTAGTAGTCGGCTGGCAGCCGAGCCGAGGTGCGCTTCACAATATATACGTACTAACTAGTGGTTAGTTTGGGCATCGGTCCGTTCGCCATTCTACTAATAACGAGTAGACCCGTAATATCATTCCGCCAGCCTCGGACAGATCCGATGGACCACTCAGCAGTCTTCAGTTCTCAAACGCAACCTCTTCTGCCGAACTCCCAGCACAGATATTTGCGGGGTGAGAGTGGAGATGCTTTGATCTGAGATCCGGGGAAATCATCAATATACACCTTAAAGATAAAAATGGCAACTTGGTGGGACTGCCGGTAGCTGCTGGTGTCTTCAATTTCTCTGCAACTATGGGTTTCAAGTTCGCTGGCTTCACCATTCTACAGACAGTGCGTTTGTTACGTACAATAATAGGCTCCTCTAACATTGACAGTTGTTTCTTCTCGTCAGCATGACAATCGTCAAGGCTAAAACCGGACTAACAGTCCCGGAACATGCTTGGTTATTCCCCTGGCTCGTGGCCACCAACTATTGACTTTGATGTTGACTTGAAGATAGGGACTCTCATATTCATATCATCGAATCCGACAAGTTCCCCCTCAGTCCAGATAGAGGTGCGCGCTGTTGACCATTTTCAAAAGGTAAGCCCAAATTTGACCGACTTGCCTTGGCAGACTACACCCCCCAAAGCTGCGACTCGGGAACAGGCCCTGGTATTTGAAGGCTCCATCGGTATTCAGCATGCCGTCATTGTCTTACCCAGCGTATATGGAACCAATAACAGCGTCCTTATCGACGCCCTACGCTCCACCAATGGTACTTATCGAGGCGTCTGCGTCTTGGACCTCTCGGCGGAAATTGATAACACTACCCTTCAGACATTTCACGACGCTGGTGTTCGTGGAATCCGCATTAACTATGGCAATGAAGGAACAGACGCACAGATTACCTCAGATACCATTCGCGCGGCGTCGATCGCTCGAATTCACAACTGGGTCCTGCAGTTATGGGTCCCTATCGCCTCCTTCAAGTCCCTTCACCATATAATTCCAACCCTGGGGGTACGCGTGGTAGCGGATCACTATGCTCACGCAATGACAGCTTCCCGTACGGGCAATCTAAACAATGCGATTGATCCCTTCAGCATCACCGGGTTCCGTGAAGTGGTGGACCTCATGCGACGAAACCACCTTTTCGTAAAAATCTCGGCGCCGTACCAGAACTCGCGGGACGAGCCGCTGTACAGTGATCTGCGGGTTATCGCGGAGACACTTATTCTGCATGGACCCGACATGGTGGTTTTTGGCAGCGACTGGCCGCATACGGCGAGTAAGGAGGGGAACGGGGCTGGAGGGAGATTGGTTGAGCAGGAATTTAGGGACGTCGATGATCAGGCTATTCTGCAACAGACGCCTGTGTGGGCCGGAACGCAGGCGCAGGTGAGGAGGTTATTCGTGGATAACCCAAGAAGGTTATGGGGGTGGACCGACACGGAGTCGTGATATGAGACATTATGGCAGGAGTGGGTTGTGACAGGCACCTGTTGATCAATATTGTGTTCCTGCCGCTCGCTAATGCTAGTCTATTTCATTAAGCGGTCCAGGTAATGGAATATCAATTCAGCTCTCGACCCCTTACTTGAGCTTTGTGGCAATGAGAGCCGAAGCATGTTTTCTGAGTTATCATCCCCGATAACATCGATTTCTATTTATAAGTGGCTTTGTCTTCATCAATGCAGTAATGCATCATGTCCCATGACCACGTAACTTTCACATTCAATGTGGCATACAATGTTAGTAAAATACATCATGGAATGAGCAAAAGCTACAAATATCAGACGTAACTACCTTGTCTAAAAAGGACTCTTGTAGTTTCCAAATACGTTCAACGGCTGCGCCCCTTTCACAATATTCCCCAGTAAGCACCGTATTCTCACCCGTTCGCAGACGCAGCAATAGCCGTGAGATACGCCTGATCTTGGCGTCCTGGTCGGCTGGGGCCTGTTACGTTCTATACTCCTTGAGCCTCTCATCAACGCGACTGGTAGGAATCGATGTCTTAACGGCTTCATGTTTATATCGAACAGGGCAAAGTCCGATCCTTCTGCAAACCGGCGGACGTCGACGCAAATCGGTGCCGTAGCACCAATTAGAGCAGCGACACTCTCGCATTCAAGCATTACCTTCCCGTAGGCGGGGTTTTGGAGTTTATTTTGCGAGATGGCCCGGGAATTGGATGTCACGGCGACAACACCATTATAAGGGGCGATGCCTTCGGCATGGTTGAAGCGCGTGACGGGAAGCATACTCCAGTGCTGGGGATGCTCTATAGTTGGAGGCATGACGGTGATAGTTGCCTCCTCACCAGCGAGAAACTCCTCAAGCATGGCCAGTGGCGATTCACGAAGGAGGGTCTGGACATGTTGTTGTAGCTGGCCCTTATCATGACACACTTTCACTCCATGGCTACCGCGTCCTCGAACAGGCTTGCCAATGATTGGGTACCTGTCGATATAGTTGATAATCTCACTGATGTTTTCAGGACTCACCAGCCAAGAATTTGGTAGGGTGTAGCCTCCAAGCTCCCGTAGTTGATCGTTCAGATAGGCCTTGTCATCAAAGTTTTCAACCAGGCCTGGCGGCTGACCCACTACGTAGATCTCAGAGGGCACGGGTGTTGGTTTATAGGATGTTTGAAGTGGGTGAGAGGTGAAAGGAATGATGTTAGCCCACAAATGCGTGGCGCCCTGCTGGGCCGCGCTGTAAATCCCTTCCTCCGTTTTTGGGAACGCCCGGCCTTCATGGGAGGAGACTGGGGCCGAAGGATCTGACTTTATGACCTTCACGCCCTTCTGCAGAAGGGTGTAAGCAATGTCCGCGCCGTAATCCTGATAGCCTTGGGAGGTATTCAGCTATAAGCATGTATCTGAGGGTACTGAGGGCTTACCACCCGTCTTGCGAGGCTTTGTGACGCCATTGATAACGGGTGGGTCAATAGCCTGGTGGAGAACGGCCACGGTCGGAGCCTTTGTGCTAAAAGCACAGATGGCCTGAATAGACTTTTTGACAGCTCTTGAGGCGAATATGGTAGTAGTTTGTTGGAGTCAGAAGCTGAAAGGGTTGATATAACGGTTATTTGAGACTGTGGTGGGCCTGCTGGAACTCTCCGGCCTTCTGCTTTCTTCCGCGCCCCGGGAAACTCCGCATTGCGCCATCTTTTTTCGTCGAGATCCCGAAGCTCATTTCTAAAGAGGACTATGATTTATGTGAATTAAGACTTAAAAAGCTATTATAAGGCTAGAATACACCGTTTTTATGTCGAAAATGCACTTTGATGATCGAACCTGTAGGGGGTTCTGTGCTGACATTTAACGTCCTTACCAATAACGCCAGGACGATCCATGGAGTAAGCACCAACATGTGCACTTGCTGACCTGAGAGGTGAAACTGTCCCGTGGTTTAGATTTGGGAAGTAAACAGCTAAGTGAGGGAAGTTATGTCTTTCTCCTCTTCATGTTTTCAGAGGGAAATGTCACAATTAAAGGAGGTGTGATAACCGTCCAATAAGAAAATAAAGTCACTATATTCTTTCTGGCAAGAGTGGAATCAAGATACCAGTTATATGGTGGTAGTAACATTATCATATATGGTTCTTAACCTCACCTGAAACGCAAGCAAAACGATGGCACCAGTGTGAACAAGTAGGATTACCCCGGACCCCCATTCAATCTGCAGGCTCGGCCTGGCTCAGACCAAAATGTTTCGCCATGGTCCCGATACCATTGTAGTGTCATTGTAAGTGCATCATCAAATGAAACTTTCTCTGTCCACCCTAAATGTCGGAGCTTGGAGTCATCGGTCCAATACATCCGGTCATTGAAGGGCCTATCTGTCACAGTCTCGAGATATTGTTCACACGCATCCCTCGTACCTGGGTGAAACCACCGTAGAATTCGTTTCGCAACCTCAATGACTTGAATATGCTCCTTTGAGGAGATATTGTAGGTCTCGGATACAAGACCTCGATGGAGAATGAGATCGAAAGCGTTCACAACATCGCTGGCGAAGACAAACCCACGAACTGCGTTTCCCTCACCATGTAAAGTCATACGCTGGGAACGTAGCATTTGCATCGCAAATTTCGGGATGAGTTCTAAGACAAGATACGTCAGGAACCAGCAGCCCTCGAGAATTCCATCAGGGAGCTCTTACTCTCAGGGTACTGACAGGGACCGAAAACATTGTTGCAGCGAGTTATTATGATGGGCATATGGAACGAATACCGATAGGCGTTGGCGATCATCTCAGCAGCGGCTTTGCTAGCTGAGTATGGATTAGTCGGATTCAACCGATCTTCCTCCGTAAAGGCATAGTCCTGGTTTGTCCGGTTTTCCCCGTATACCTCGTCAGTAGAAACGTGGATAAACCGTACGACCGTCCCAGCCTGTCGTGCTGCTTCCAGAATAACATGGGTCCCAGTCACGTTGTTCCGAGTGAAAGAGACAGGGTCAACCAGAGACTGGTCCACGTGGGAATTCGCTGCGAAGTGGACGATGGCATCCACTGTAAACTGCTGGAAGACAGCTGTTACCCTGTCGGGGTCGCACAGATCGCCTCTGAGAAAGTGGAAGTTGGGAAGATGCTCGACGGGGTGTATGTTGCACTTGGACGCGCAGTAATTGAGGTTATCAAAGCAGACTACCGTATACCTCGTTCCGTATACCTGAAGGAGGTGCCGAATGAACCAGCCCCCACTGAAAATGCAGTGTTAGTTCACCTATCGATGTCTCGACATCCGCATAATCATGGCCCGGTAATAGACTCACATGAATCCTGCGCCCCCAGTAACCAAAATGGTCTTCACACTTCTCATAGCATCCTCATCTTCTGAGCCATTGCTTTGAACTCCTACCTGTTGGACAGTCATCGTGCCGCCGGATTTGTGTAATGATTGTCCTTAACAACTACAATTTTTGCACAGAGTTTTTGATCATCTATATATTAAACATTAGCCCCAAGAGACAACTATAGCGTAATGGGCACTGTTCTCTCTGTGTATTGAAGGAATTTAACATAGAATTTGCTTTTCTTTGTTCCAATATTGGGGAGTGGGACACCTTCACCATATCGACGCCTCTGCGCCTTCGAAGTTCAGACAAGTGTGGGTGTGGAAGTACCCTTGTTCCGTATAGCCCGAAATCGTTCCCAAGTCACAGTTGGTGCGGATTGAACAGAAAAGGCAGCGTTAAGGTAGGTTATTGTGGTGTGCCACGAGCGGAGATCTATCTATTACTTTGAATCCCGAGCAAACGACATACCCTATCGAACAGTTTCGACACTGCTCCGCATCACCTTCAGGTCCCTGCAATAGTCAATTGAATTTCAAACAATAAATTGAAGTATACCTCATGTCCCAGGACTATGCCCGCATGACCAAACCTGACCTCGGCTTTGCAGTTCTCATTGTCGCGTTTTTGTCAATGTGTACATGAAGACAGTAGTCCTTGAGTGTCTTCATGCAGTCAGCGTAACTATCTGGCATAATCAATGACAGATGTGTGTACAAGATCCTAGGCACCAACGGATACTTCCTAGTCAGCCTGACAAGCAGAGCATGTTCTCCACTGCTACCCCTGTAAATCCTGGCCAAGACAGATATATCTCTGTTCGGCGTTCACTTATAAATGTCGTTATCTGTGTCGATATGCACAAGAATGTACATACCATTGATGCTGATAATGTCCGATTAAGATTGCAAAAAAAGAAGTATTTCTCCCTCCAGGGAAGCTGGTCCGCTTTGCTGAAGATGCTGGCCAGAGATCAGCTCTCCCGCACTATAAGACACAGTTCTGTAACAATTGTACCAAACTATATAACGAAATGCACACAGCCATATGTAAGATACATTTTGTGCTGTACAATGAGTCTTCTACCTGGGTTCGACATATGCTTTTGTAAGGGTAGATCATATTCAATGGGAACGAAAGAAGTGTTTGTGACCACGTGGAGTAAACTCGGGAATTAGCAAGGATCAAAGCATAGAGAAACAATATCTCCAAGACTTTGTAGATGCTCATGTTAGGCGTTGTGGACCTTCATGGAGCTGCAAGCATGGTCAAAATTGCATGAATGGCTCTACCACGACAGCGGAAACTCAGACAAGGGTGTGCAATAAAACGAGATAAAAGCCCGAACTCCCTCTCGTCACCATGCCAGTCCTGCTAGCAACTCAAGTGAGTCATGGCTGAGGTCCAACTTATTGCCACCCTGCGACCAGCCCCGGGAAAGGAGACTGAGGTATGCGCCCCTTACCTCACGCTTCGTCAGGCATCGCTAATAATCCACTGATACTCACTGATATATCAGCTTAGAGACATCCTTTGCGATACGGCACGTCTTGTGGAGCAGGCGGAACCATCGTGTTTGGAATTCCTATTAACAGAGCATCATCGAGTAGATGGTACCTTGGAGTTCAGAGTCATTGAAAGGCATGTGTCGCACGG